TTTTTTTTTTTCTTTTGTAAATTATTTCTCGGAATCTAGTAAATACAATTAGGCGATGGGCACAACTAAAATTGTGAAGCTCAAGTATCTGGTTTTACTGAAATTTTGTGTGAGTTTAGAGAAGCCCTCGTGAAACATAATTTCCTTAATACTCATTCACTGAGCCAAATTTGTGAACAATTTATGTTCATACGTTATTTAGGATGAAACTAATGCCATCTTATATTTGTGGGTATCTGTTAAAGTTGCTATTAGATAAACATTTGTTAGGAAGGCATGTTATAGTTCAGAACGAACCAAATTTGGATTTGACTCATGAGTAAGGGTCCTACTTTGTTATATTTATCATCTAACATTATATTTTCTCTCTTGTAAGGTATCTTTAAATTACTTGTAAAATCTGATTTCCTCCACAATTAAATTTGTGATACTTCCATCGGGTCACTTGCAAGTTCAAGTGGTGCCTGACTCTTGAAACTAGAATACTTAAACGACAACTACTTCTCGTTGAGACAAGCAAAAAAATTGGCATGAGAATGGAGGTTATACAAACGAAACACCAATTGGTTGCAAACTTGAAATTATATGTCAAGTAGATGTGTAATTAAGTTTGAATGACAGGGATCAAGGAACACATTTATGCTTCAGGTCTTAGAGTTTTTCCCTCTGTTATGTTTACGTTTCTGTAGCATTCTTGTGGTAACTGAGTTGAGTTCTGTAAATGTTAGCGATACTGTGATAGCAAATTATTAAGAAATGTCATGCTTGGTTTGGAGAAGTACATAGCTGGTTTAAAATTAGAAAGTTTTGTTGAATGAGAATCTAAAAGTTGCATTTTGCATTAGACCTTGTTGTAACATGGTATTTACTGTGTATCTACAATCTTTCGATAAAAAATTCTGGAAAACGTGCACTATTGTTATTTTCTTTCTTTTTCTTTTTTTATTCATGGAAGTAAATAAAAGCTTTGGTAGCTGCTGTCTACTGATATTTCTTTTGCAGACTGCAATTTCAGCTCTACAATCTGTCCTGCAGGAGGACTTCAAAGCTAGTGAGATTGAGGTAAACTCTTTCCGGGCTTTGGTGTTTGAAATTCTTACCCCTTTTCATAATATTTCTTCTGTTTTTTTACCCCATCAATTTTTATGATGTGCTATTTTTCTGGTGAAATAAATCTTGTGGTCTGTTCCAGGTTGGCGTTGTGAGGAAAGAAGATCCAGTTTTCAAAGTTCTGTCGACTGAAGAAATCGATGAGCACTTGACTGCCATCAGCGAACGTGACTGACCCTGTCCCATCTGTCAAATGTTAAACTGCTACAAATTCGGGTGCAAACTTTGTTTCTATGATGGATAGAGAACTGATGATATGTCCTAAAATTTGTTTGTATTTGTCATTACACCACTCTATCCCCCTATTCAATTGGGATTATTTCGGTTGATTCATCGTATGAATGGGACGTGCATATTTTCGTCTTGATGATGTCATGGTTTTGGCTTGGATTATTTACTGTTTTTCGACTGCTTGAAATAATCCGGGAAGGTAGACGATGCTATGGTGTGTCATGTTGCACCTAGCCTCAAGTTCATACAATAAAATGAGTTAGGTGCTATTTGGTACAAGTGATTCAAGCATATATATGTAATTTAGAAATTCTGTTTTGTCCCACATTTTTAGAGTAATAGAAACTTCGTCGGTCTCACATCGATTGAGTGATTTCTTTTAAGGATCTAATGGAAATAATTGGCCAACTAATTATTCTCTTTTCTTATTATGCTCATAAATAAACCATAGGCATGAAATGTAATGTATTTGCATATCTCTGGCCACAAACTTACCTTATAAGGTCCCTTAACAATCGGACAATTTTCACAACTCTTTTCCACACCTTTCTCAATCTCCTTTTCCTCTCTACCACCACATCGCGTCCATTCAAAAAATAACACTAAAAAATCCATTTTTGGGCCACAAAATTCTGCCACCATGCAAGCTCCTCCACCTCCGTACGTCAGTCTCAACGGCGGCCAAACCACCGGCGGCCGCCCTCCGCCGCCTTACCACCGCCAGGTCCCACGGTACAACTCCTACTACCAGAAGCCGAAATCCGGCGGAGCAAAGAGCTGTTTCCGTTGCATTTGCTGCTGCTATAGCTGCCTTTTCATCATCGTCATTGTCCTATCCTTCTTGGCTTTCTATTTCTACACGATCGAGCACCCCAAAGTCCCTTCTTACAATGTTCAGGATTTCGAGGTCAAAGCCTTTGACCTCACGCCCGATTTCAGCCTCAAAACCGAGTTCCTCGTGACCGTGAAGGCCGAAAACCCGAACAACAACATTGGGATCATATACGGCCACAGCAGCTCGGTCGGGGTTTATTATTCAAACAGCGACCTCTGCCGAGGGAAGCTTCCGAGTTTCCATCAGGGGCAAAGGAACACGAGCTACATCAAAATCGACCTCACGGGGGAGAGCCCGTTCGGGTCGGGCCTGCAGGAGGCCCTGTCTGAAAGCCAGAAGAACAAGAAAATCCCGTTGCTCGTGAAGGTGCGGGCCCCGATTAGCGTGGTCGTGGGGGAGTTCCCGTTGAGGCAGTTCACGGTTTTTGTGAATGTTTCGATGGTGGTGGATAACCTGGCGCCCAACAAGAAAATCAATATTCTGTCGAGCAATACGACGTACGATTACGAGTTTTGAGGTCTCTCGGGGAATCCACGGTTGGGAGATTCTCTCTTTTGCGTTGTATGGATTGGTTTCATGTGATTGCGTGAAATTTTGATTTCACCAGGATTCTTGAAAGGAAAAGCTGCAATGTTGAAATATCTAATAGAAATGTGCATATGTGCAAAAAACTAAAGACACAATGAGAAAATCAGGGTAGTGTCTTGTGGTTAAAGTGATTTATATCTTGGCTCGTGCATGCATATTCATGCTCACATGAAAAAGTGATTGCACCTGCACATTTGCTATATTTTTTCTACATGCAAATCGGTGTTGAGCTCATCATCCGATATGAAGTTTCTAAAGATCAATTGCTAGCAACTAGTCCAATACAATTCTGGGCTGTATCAAAAAAATAAAACCACTTAGAAGTCAGAACAGAGCGAAAATCATTATCACTTGTAATAGCTTAGATATTCCAAATTTCAGGTAATTCAGAGTGCACCATATATACATTACACCTTCCCTGTAATCTCGAACAGCTGAAGATGAAACACGGTAATAAGTAAGAGTCTCCCTACCAAGACGAACTAGTTGGTGCAAATGAATCCAGTCAACTTGTAATAGCTTAGACAGATCCAAAAATACAAGCAATCGCTTTTAAACAGCTAAGGCAGATCTAAAATGAGACAACGTGCAGAATAATATATTACAACAACAAATTCGAAGCTCGAAATAACTTAACTGGGGAAAAGGTTAAATATATGACTCGCCCCACAAAGTCGTCTCATAATCTCCTCAACGTGTACAAAGCAAAAAAATAATCACGTCCTGTGCAGAGCCACTAAAACCCGTAAAATTCCAAATCTAGTGGACATTGCATTGTTGCAACAAGGGATGCCCATAATCGACGTACTTATCCCAGAGCGGTTTATACTTCTCCATTCCAATTTTCAGCCAAGGCTTCGAGTTGCCATTAAAGTGCAACACAGCTCCCTTCTCGATCAACTGCTGGTCAACATTCGTGTAGCCCAAGCCCAGCACGTGCCACGACGGGTTCAAGGGCTCGGTCAGCCCATAGAAGGTCAACAGCCCGGGAGGCAGGGTCCCGAGCTTCCACAGAGTCCGGTCCACGTTCTTTTCCTGCCAGTAATGGTAGATGCCTGTCACATTCCTTCTCCTCCACTCAACCAAGTCGAAAACATTCATACCGAACGCCCACCCGCATGCGTCTGGATCAAAATGGTCACGGATGAGCGGGTGTGAGTAGTTCAAGTATTTATGGTACCTATGGAAAGTCTCCATGCACGTCTCGACAGCGCCATTTACGTTTCCGTTCAAGTCGAGGGAGAACAAAGGCGAGAGATCCTTTTGCACAACCACATCATCATCAAGAAATACCACTTTCTTGAGGGTGGGAAAAACTTCGGGTATGTAGAACCTAAGGTGGTTGAGCATGGAGAGGTATTTCGGGTTTCGGAATTTGATTGGGGTCCGGCTGTCCCCACCGTGGCCCGAGAAGTAGTAGCTCTGGGTCTCAGAGTCCTGAAGCTGTTTCAAAACAGGAACATAAGACGCGTTCAGCCACGTAAAATCTTCGAATTTCTGAACATCGACTGTCACCCCATTAAAAGTATTGATTGTGAACCAGGCCCTCATGGCTGCATAATTCACTTCATCTGTCACGAGGTGGAACACGACTTTTCCAGGGTTGTCTGAATTCGAGACGGTCGAGTTCACCACAACAGACGTGGCCAGAATGTTGTCTGAAAATATGCAAAAATGATATAAACTGTTATCTCTCAGTTTCAACGCTGTTTGCCTGTTGTCCAGTCTCCTCTGCAGGTTCGCACTCTGGAACCACTCGCTCGTGAGGCGGACCCCCAGGCAGTAGAGGCTCTTTGGGACTTCCTCAGCTGCTATCTGCCCGTATTTCGAGCTCTTCTCGTTGATGGAGCTCATTTGTTCCTCAAGGCCTTGGATCTTGGCCTTGAGTCGCATGATCATGGTGGAGCTGTCGTAGTGGAGCTGCTGAGCCTGGAAGAGCAAAATGGCCATGTCGCGGATGGCAGTTTCTGATTCCGGGGCCGTGAGGGGAGTTCTTCGTAGGGCGGCATTGGAGAGGAGGATTTGGGAGTTGCGAATCTGGGCACTGAGCTCCCATGCAAATTGCAAATTGTTGCTCTCTTTTGCGATGACGAGGAAGGCTTTGGCGAGGGAGATTTGGTCGTTGAGCTGCCGGGTGACTGAGTCAGGGCTCAGCATCTCGTCCGTGATATTGAGGCCTTCTATGAATTTTTCATGCCTCGAGGACCTCTGCAAAACATAAAGGGACTTGATTTGGAATAATGACGGAAGGAGAGGCAAGCATCAAAATCAATGCAACAATGACAGTCAATTCTGACATGCATATACTTATCCCCTTTTTGTTCCTCATTTTAAGAAGCAGGATATGTCTATTATTAAGGACAAAAGTCACCCTCAAAAGCATTCTGCAAATTTTACAGCATATATGGCCTTTGCCAAAAATAACACATCATACACTAATTCTAAATATCCTCTGCTTATGTGACGCCTCCAACACCGAAATATATGTATATATATCCTCCATATATTCCCTTCAACACCATAGCAAACTAAAATAATGGGTTTGTGTCTACCCCTGTCAGAGTCGCCCTGTCTAAGCACATTTTGCATATACCAGAAATTGCCGAGTAGTGCTCTAGATGCTGGTTAGATTTGGTCTTTTGTACTTATGTATTTTCACTAATACAACCTTTCTTTCAAATAAATAAATGACAATCGTTTGTACTGAACTCTCTTCGACAGAAAAATATTAACTCCCCCAAGAGGAATTCCATCGTCCAAAGAGCACAATCACTATAAAACTAAAACATTAAGAAGTTATCTTAGTGAAATTCCAAATATGTCCTTCTATCAAAGCTGCGCACTTTGTCTATCTGACAAAAGGATATATTCTAATCCTTCGCGACAAGTTAAGCAACTATTATTTCCAACATAAGATATAGCTTAATTGGATAAAATAAATTGATAAACAAAAATTAATTACCTAGTACTAAAAATGGCAATTTACATTTCTTTCCAGAAGCCATTCTCTACAATAACACTAAGATTTCTGCTGGATTACTCTACAATTTTGCCTTATTTTATACACTGTGTCCACTATATCTTTCTACTCAAGCATCAACGAGATAATTTAATCTAGCAAAATAAGAAATGTTTGTACCTGAAAACCTCTCCTATAGCATGCTGCCAGAGCAGGTATAGTACTACACGCTTTACTACAGGAGCAAAAGTAAATAATACAAATACGAACAGTTTCTATGTGGGTTGTTTAGGTACATAAAAAAAAGTGCTACAGAAATGCTATTGCTGCCATCAAGAAAGTATCTTAACAATTTATTACACAGGGTTCTGAACAGCCCGAGCCCCTAGAAAAGGACATAGTAACTCCAGTAGGAGATAACATAGTAAAATCCTAACATAGAACTCCAAGAATCTTGAACGACAACAGGGTCCCATCCAGATGCTAATACAAACACTATGGACAGTAAGCTAACTTCTTTTAAATTCATTCTCATGTAATGATTTTTCTCCACTTAATTATTGAATGAACCATGTTGCACATCAGTACTCTGTTTTGAAAATGGGATATATAGTCATACTCGACTTATGATGGATAAATAAGAACCTACATTACTTGGAATAAAAATATATGTGATCATACAAAATGAAGCGTTGATTATCGTCTCGATCGATGTTACACAGTCGAAATACTTCCACTTTACATAACAGAGCAAGAAGGATTTGGATTTTATTAGCACAGATCGTCCATATGTAAATATTTTACAGGATTCACGTAAACAGATCTTTGAATTATTGATGCTATCTACCAAGTTTGACATCCATTACATTACGTTGTTTCCCGTAAGGATTGCTGATTTGCGGATGACACAGACGTAAAGACTCGGGCGCTACCAATTTTCAAAGAAAAAAAAAAGGTTTGTTGCGTTCTTCATCATTATAACAATAAGCACAATGAACTAATTCATTTCCCAGTAGCTTTAATTATTCAAAACATCAGTGACTCCCAACTTGTTCCCAATTAGAAAACTTTTCAATTGTTCGATTTCCTACGACACCTTTGTTGATCGTATCAAACATCCCCTAATTCTAACAGGAAAGAAAAACCACATGTTGATAAGATAATATAGCCAACTCTACCAGCATCTTTGGTAGATAGCACCAAATACTGATTTACAGTTACAGCTTAGCATAACCTACACCTTGATATACTCACACCTCCTCTTTCCAAATTCGAACTCTATAGGTTCCCATAAAACAATCGCAAAAACAAAACTGAACCAACTCGCAAAAGACAAACGACAAGAAATTCATCAAAAGAAAACCAAACACAAAGCTCCAATGGCCAAAGAAAACATAAATTATCATAATAATATATGAAGGCAGTCCATGTTAAGTTGAACGAGCAAAAATCAGATCCAATTACCTTCGCGTAAGCCGATCTCGCGGCCGGTTGCTGGTTCTCCCGGCTCAACAGCACAATGAAGAGCAAGATCACTAATCCACAAAGCGTCAACCAGAACACATTTGGGATTCGCCGCCTCGCAGGTCGCCGGAAATCTGGGCCCCGTCGTCTCATCTACTCGGACAAAAATACTGGAAGTGGCTACAGTGCAAAAGAAAGCTACCAGCTGTGAGACTTTGGCTTGCGTGGGGATTTGAAGAGCTTTGGCTCAGCTTTAATGGGGGAATTTAAAGGCTTTTGCTTTAGAAATGGAGACGAATCAGAAGGAAGGTCGGTGCAGAGTGCAGTAGAAAGTGTTGAGGAGGGGTTTGTGGAAGATTAACAGATCTCACATATTATTTATTATTTATTTTATTATTATTATTTTACATCATTTAATTCAAAATCTAATTTTATTTTATCACATTGACTCTCTACAATATTATCAATACAATTAAATAATATCAGTCAATCATTAATGCAAATCACATTAATTTTAATTCACTATTCATACACTCATATATTTTTAATTATCCATCATTTTCAGTTAATCTCTTAATTTTACATTTACATCACTTGAATTTTAGTAATTGCGTTTTAAATATTATTTAAATAAAACTCAAAATTTCACTAAATTCTATACTCAATCAATTTTAATAAAAAATAACTCATTTTTTTTTATAAGAAATCTAATCAAAATTAAAATATTATATATCCAATGATTAAGAGAGCGATTGACTATAGAGATTATCCGATTTTGACTGACCAAATAATTTTATTATACTTTTTAATTTAAAATCTAACTCAACTTTATTCCATATTCAACACTTCTCAATATTATCAATATAATTAAATAACATCAATCAATTATCCTCATACATTATATAAACTTCAATTCACTTTTCATCTACTCATATATTTCTACTTTCTCGTCACTCTCAGTCACTTTTCTCATAATTTTACAACATATCAACTTTAATCATTATATTTTAAATATTATTAAAACTTACAAACTCTAAGTCACACTCAAAATCTCCACTAATCAACTTTGTTTAAAATAATTTATTTTATCTATTACATCTAATTAAAATTAAATATTGCATATCCAATCAACCAAGTAACACTCTATCGTTTCGAGAAAAAAATAAAAAAAAATAAAAATAAAAATAAAATCACCCAAGCAACACGAAGGGCTTAAAATTGAATTAAAGTTAAAGTCTTTCCCCTACACTAGAGTAGATCATTAGAAAGACTTGTCTTGTAGGAATTAAGTGTTTTAGCAATTGAAGATTTCTACAAGTTGGGTGTTCTTAATCTCTAGTCTAGTGTGCTACTTAATTAATTAATCTAGCTTTACATATGTGCAAATATATTTGCGAAGCAACCTTTATGCGCTTTAAGTGCAGCCCAATTTTTTTACTTGCGCAAGCATCTTTTTTCACTTAATAAATGAATTATGCTTTATTATACACACCACATATTTAAATAATATTTTTTTTGGTACAAAAAAGGAGGCCTAGGCCTAGGCCTAACGATACTCTAAAACATCACGCGACGTGGTCGAGCCACCCTTAAAAGGTCATGGTTTAGCCAATGCCCAAGTTCCGGCGGCGGGTCCGTAAGACGATGAAGCCCAACCTCACAGGGCCGTCTCCAGAAATTTAGAGGCCCCAGACAATTTATTCAAGAGTGGCCCGTTATCGTATTCTTATATTTTTATTTATTTTAATTGAGCAAATAATAATAAACATTGCTGATAATGAATACGAAAAATACGATGAATATGAGAAAAATAAGTAAATTAAAATACAAAAACTTACAACCTTCTCGTCTCATTCTTTACAAAAAATTATTTACAATACTAACAAACATGATCATCCACTTATCAATCTAAAATCAATTTGAATGTTTATTACAATTCAAACTCAAATTTTTCAAATAAATGAATGCATTGTATATAAATAGCTGGAGATCCAACTTTGCCAAAGCAACTAAAGTTTATATTGTAATTGATTGACATACAAAAGTTACAATTATTTTATTGTAACTGGAATTCAAATATTTTTTTTTCACAGCACCAGATTGCTTTTACACAGATGGATCATAGATTCAGTACTACCTTTTTAATAAAAAGAAAAAGAAATGAAGCCCAACCTCACAGGGCCTCTCCAGAAATTTAGAGGCCCCAGACAATTTATTCAAGAGTGGCCCGTTATCGTATTCTTATATTTTTATTTATTTTAATTGAGCAAATAATAATAAACATTGCTGATAATGAATACGAAAAATACGATGAATATGAGAAAAATAAGTAAATTAAAATACAAAAACTTACAACCTTCTCGTCTCATTCTTTACAAAAAATTATTTACAATACTAACAAACATGATCATCCTCTTATCAATCTAAAATCAATTTGAATGTTTATTACAATTCAAACTCAAATTTTTCAAATAAATGAATGCATTGTATATAAATAGCTGGAGATCCAACTTTGCCAAAGCAACTAAAGTTTATATTGTAATTGATTGACATACAAAAGTTACAATTATTTTATTGTAACTGGAATTCAAATATTTTTTTTCACAGCACCAGATTGCTTTTACACAGATGGATCATAGATTCAGTACTACCTTTTTAATAAAAAGAAAAAGAAACTACATATATCAATTTAAGGAGACAAATAAAATACAAAAAAAAAAAAAAAACAAAGAACTTCTTCCTGGGCAATTCAAGCATCAGGAAATTAAAATCATATTGCAATTTGTCTGGCTCGGACAAAAGAAAGAAAGAACATTTTAAAATTTATGTGAATGGATTTATGTGAAGAATTGGGCCGAGCCCAATACAAATGTATAAGTATATAATACATAAATATATATCTTATATGAGGCCCCCTAAAATGTTGAGGCCCTAGGCAGGTGCCTTATTTTTCTGCCCCTAAAGCCGGCTATGCAACCTCAACCCCATAAGTCAACGAAGCCAACCTATCGGCCGCGAAGTTACCTTCCCTATATATATGAGACAAGCGAACACACCACTCCACCTTGAGTAAGTCTCGAATGGCTTGAACAATTGAAACATGAAGCCCAAGATTATCCTTAGTCCCCGAGACCATGGCAACAACACTGCTATATATTATCCACTTCAACTAATACATGTCGTGAACCCAGATCCCACGCGAGTCGAAGTCCCTGATAAAGACTCCATAATTCCGCTCCAGTGATAGAGCAATACCCCACGTTCATAAGGAAGCCGCCAAGCCATCGACCATTTGCGTCTCGGGCTAACCCGCTTGCACTAACCCTACCAGACGTTGGCACACCGCGCCATCCGTGTTAACTTTGATCCAGTTCGTTGTCAGTATGACTTGTGCAGATGCGTTGGGTCTGAGTGCTCGACGCTATGAGGAAATAGTGATTTATAAATCATTATTTCCTCATAGCGTCGAGCACTCAGACCCAACGCATCTGCACAAGTCATATTGCTTCAGTACCCGTCCACTCTATTCCTAATATCCAGAACGTAATGATCGTACAATCGATCGCACAATGATCGCACAATCAACCGTACCCTGTGGAGTGAAATATATCAATTTTTAATTGGTCGAGTGAAAAATTAAGTAAACTTATATTTTCAGGTGATAATAGATATTTGACAAAATTACATTTTTAGTCATGCTGGTTTAACGCCGCAGCATTTTTAGTCTCAAAATTTCAACTTTTTTCTTTTGACCATGTAATTTAGTATTTTGCAACAAATGACTGAAGATTACAAAGGACTGTAATTTAGTATTTCAGTCCAAATGACTTAAATTGCAACAAAATTTAAAATTACAAGACTTAAATTGCTAATAAAAATTCATCATTTTTTTTTTTAGCAATTTAAGTCCTGTAATTTTAAATTTTGTTGTATTTTCAGTCCTAAAGAACTGAAATTACGTTGAATTTTAAAATCATAAGACTAAATAGCAAAAATGTTCAATTCTTAGGACTAAAAACGCTACTGGATCAAACCAACATGACTAAAATTGCAATTTTGCCTCGATATTTTCACATTTTAATTTCCTGAACAGAAAAAAAAAGAAAAAGAAAAAAAAAGTACGACTTATTAGAAAACATACACCCTTTTGAATATATATGCACAATATCGTACTATAATGCCATTCTTTTTTTCGGTACAAAGAAAGAGGCAAAAAGCCTTATACTACGATATTACGAGGGTGGGCTACCCCGAGAACATCATGTTCAAGCCACGGTTTCACCCCCGTGGGAGGGTCGTCCAGTATATGAAGTCCGCCCGGCATAGTCGATGCTAAGGAAGCAAGGTAATCCGCTGCAAAATTAACTTCCCGATGGATATGCCTAATCTCCGACTTCTATTCTTTTCCCAGAAGCTCCTTTATTCCTACGACAAGACTACCATAAATTCCAGCGTGCTCGCCATTGTGTAACACCAAGTCCACTACGTTCTTGCTATCCACCTCCGCGAGCACCACGCGGTAACCCAAACTCCAAGCCAAAGATAAGCCTTGAAAAAGGCCCCATAACTCCGCGCCCAAGATCGAGCAAAACCCTATGTTCATCACAAAGCCGGATACCCACCTGCCATCCTCATTCCGAAGAAGACCGCCGGTTGAGGCCATTCCAGTCTGCCTAATGAAAGCTCCGTCCGAATTGAGTTTAATGCATCCTTCAGCAGGCTTGGTCCAAGAGAGCCATCGGAGCTCTCGACAAGAAACTACTGCATTTAAATTCTTAGCAAATAAAGTTGCCGAATTGTAATCTGATACCTGTCTGTCTATGGCCAACACACGCCCCAAGATATTCAGTCCGGTTTTCTCGAAAATATAAGAATTTCTGCCGCGCCATATATTCCACATCATGACTCCAAAAACACAACTCCAGTTTTCCACCTGGACATGCAGCAGATTACTGAGGTTAAGACATAACCATCCATCCATATCTGAGGAGAAAAACGAGGCCCAACGAGGAGACGGTAGAAGGCGACGCCACGTTTGGACTGCATGCCGGCAGTCCCGGAGACAATGAAGGATCGTCTCGCGCACCGCGCCACATAACACACAGGCTGCACTCTCCGTTAGGTGACGTCGATAGCGTTCATCGTTGGTAAGC